TGTGTGTGTGGTACAGGGCTGACCAAAAGGAGCACATCCGTCTTTTCACTTCAAAACAGAAAGCTGTCGCAGTTGGGTTCCAATTAAAAATAAAATTATTTTTAAATAATGTGTTGGAAAAATTGGACTTAATTGAATTTAAAAAAACCCAACCTGCCCCACCCCCCCAAAACTTGTTATGATGGATGGTGAGTGTTAGGTAGATAACATTCAGGATGCTTTCTTGAGCAGCCATGTGTTGAAGGCACTAACACATTCAAACGGATATGGATAATATGCAGGAAGTGAGAATAACCATGGCACCAAAAGTATAAATAAATTTTAGCCACCTTAAATCAGTTTTGAAGTACTGTCTTTCAGATGGTGGAGTTGAACAAGGCAGCCATCAGAGATTTATTTTGTCCCAGCAACTATGACACACTGTTAAGCACCATCTCTAAAAAATACGCTTTTCTTCCTATGTTTTTATGTCTTCTTAAGTCCAAATAACATGTTGATCCTTCTTTGACCAACATCTACTTTTTATCAATGTCAAGGTGGACGTTAACAAAAGTGTAGAGAATAACTAATGCCTTGAAACTAGATGTGCAAGCAGCAATTGTATTCAGTTAGTACTTCATAATATAGTTTCTGGAAATGTTCTATAAGCAGTAGAATTGATGTTTTTTATTGTTAACATTGTGTTAATCTTTAAACATGCAGAGCTAAATCCAGTTGCTAGTCCCAGATAAACTCACTGACCCAGTTGTTTCCTACTAAGTCAGCAATTAAATAAACTCTATTGATTCAGTAGGATTTCTATACCAAGGATTAGTTTTATTGGCCTTAGATCATAGTAAACTCAATGGAAAGGTTGGGGTTATCAGAACAGGAACAGTTCATAACCCTACAGTTCTTATTCTTAGAAGTAGGATAGTGAATGCCCATACTGAACATGCAAGTTATTTATGCTAGACAGGCAGTCCCTGAGTTACAAACATCCAACTTACATATGACTCCTAGGTGCAAACAGGGTGAGACAACAGGAACTGAGAGGAAATCTATCTATGAAGGGAAATTCACTCCAGGAAGAGTTATCATGGGGAAAAGGTGTCTCCACAGAAGTTTTTTCGCCAATTTTTGCTTCCACAACAATCCAAATTTTTTAAAATCCAATTGTTACAAGGACAGAAAGCGAGCTGAAATTTTCTAAACAGAGGCACAGATAGAAAAAAAAAAACAAAAAACAAAAAACACCACCAGAGTGTTAACCCTTCCCTATGCTATCGTAATGTTTAAAACTGTTTACAAATTAAACCCAGGAACAAACCTACAGAACCTACAGGGACTGTCTGTACTTCTGATTCCTATTAGACTCTCAGTGGTGGTCGATCTTTTATCCAAAATGCTTGGGATCAGAAGTATTTTGGATTTTAGATATCTTTGGATTTTGGGATACTACAATATTTGCATATGTGTACATAATGAGAAATCTTCCAAGTCCAAACACAAAATTCCATTTATGTTTCATATATGTTTTCTACACATATCATGAAGGTAATTTATACACAGATTTTTAAAATAATTTTGCACATCAAACAAAGTTTGTGTATATTGAACCACCAGAAAGCAAAGAGGCCCCTCTCTCAGCCATCCATGTGAATAAGTGAGAATTTTGGAGTATTTCAGAATTCCAGATAAGGGATGCTGAGCCTGTATTTAACATTTAACAGCATTTTGGATATAAGAATACATGGCATATCTCATTGAAGTTGTTCATTCCATGGCTTTGTTTCCTTCATGAGATTATTTTGTTCCTTTTCTTAACTCTCCCCCTCACTCTATTTAGCTATACTTTATTGTCTCATAAAGGTATTCATCCCACTGAGGTATAATTTTATTAGAAAATAAAAATGCAGCCCACCCTTTTCTCTCTGTGTAGAGATCCTTATTTTCCACCTGGGCATGCTAGAAACCTTCACTTCTTTCCGCTACATTATCCTTAGCAAGGCATGCATGGAAATGAATATGAAAACCACCCATTGACTATCTAAAATAGAGGCCTATTGACTTCCAGTCTATAACAATATCCACTGACCTTATTCCATGCTTGTATTTGGACACATGAAAAGAAAAGAATAGGAAAACCAATTCGTTTACTTTGCTGTTAATTTGCTGTGCCAAATTAGATGTTAATTGAGAATGCGTAACAACCATTGACCAGTATTTTTCACTTTGCACCTCCCCCGAACATCTTATACAAGAAGCAGGTCATATGACAGCATTATATTCTGCATTTACTCATCCTTTCTGTGCTTCATTGTCAGCATCCTGCATAATACAGGAAGTACTAAAAAATTGCTTTCGCTAGATATTACCATGGAGACATAGCTGGTTGGTAGAAATGGAGAATCCATTTTAAATATAACTCACAATAGAAAAATGGACTTTAGTTTTGAGTTAATTGAAACAGTTATTCAAATGCAAAATGCTGGTGTGCCTTCTGTGGATGTCTATTAGAATAACTAAGTTATGTACTTGCAATTTGTTTGATTTTAGTTGATTTTTGAAATTATTTAGGTTACATAAATAATACATATAAATATTATATGTATTATTATATATAAATTATATATAAATTATATGTATTATATAAACTATATAAATATGATTCCAACTTTATATAGTTAATCCTCTTTCCTCTATAGAAAAACTACTACTTTTCCCATAGGTCAAATCCTAGTAATTGTCAGTCATTCCTTTTTCTTATCTCACAGAGAGTCCATAAATGGTTTCCAATCTTTTAAAAAAGAGTATGTTTTATTTCTGACAAGCTTGGGTATCTGGGTTATTTGAAGAAGTCATTTTTTTATTTTACAAAATGAATAAGATTATGAGTAAACTACATCTCACATCATACCAGGGTAACCCCGAAAAACTCCATTAGTACTTAAAGTTTGTTATGATGGGCAAGTTTGCTCTAGATGCATCATTGGTGGGGTTCAGTTTGCTTTCTGGCTATATAGTAAACTACAACTCCCACTATGGTGAGTCCAGTAGGTTGAATTAGTCATGGGGGTTCTGTGTGCCAAGTTTGGTCCAGGTCCATCATTGGTGGAGGTCACAGTTTATTTGATTGTGGGTGAACGACAACTCCCAGAAAGAAAGGCCAGTTCCCCCCCCCCCCCCCCCACACACACAAACCCCTCCAGTTATCAAGTTTTGGCATATCAGGTATGTGTGCCAAGTTTGGTCTAGATCGATTGGTGTTTGGGTTCACAGTGTTCTCTGGGTGTGGGTGAACTATAATTCCCCCAAATCAAGGTGACTTTTCCCCAAAGACCTCCAGTATTTTTTGCTGATCATGAGGGCTCTGTGCGCCAAGTTTGGTCCAATGCTATATTTGGTGGAGTTCAGAGTGCTCATTGATTGCCTTGTTCCTCATGTATCACACATTGGTAAAATGTCCTTTCACATTGCCCATATTTCAAACATACATTTGAGACAGTTTATCTGAGCTCATAGATGATAAATCATTTTGTAAACACTCTCTTTAAGATGATAACATACATTTTCCTCCATTCATTCATTGGTACAATCTTTCACTAACAAAATTTATACATTCTACCTATCAAATGCTCATCACCAAGATGATTTATTTTGTTCCAAACCAAAATTCTTCTTACATCTCTCAAATCTTTAAACATCTGTAAATAAGAAAACCACTGAAAACTGTAGTCTTTAGCAATCAGAAGTACAATCACCTCACTACCGCTGAGGATGCTTGCCATAGATGCAGGCAAAACGTCAGGAGAGAATGCCTCTAGACCATGGCCATATAGCCCGAAAAAACGTACAACAACCCAGTGATTCCGGCCATGAAAGCCTTCTACAATACATAGAAGTACATCTCTTTTCTTCTTATGCATTAGAGTCTCGCTTATCCTACATAAACGTGCTGGCAGAATGTTGGGTAAGCAAAATGTTGGATAATAAGGAGGGATTAAGGAAAAACCTATTAAATGTCAAATTATGTTATGATTTTATAAATTAAGTACCAAAATATCATGCTTTACACCAAGTTGACAGAAAAAGCAGTTCAACACACAGTAACGTTATGTAGTAATTACTGTATGTATGAATTTAGCACCAAAACATTGCAATGTATTGAAACAGCTGTGAATCCGGGTGAGAGGCAGTCTGTGTTGGATAATACAAAATGTTGGATGAGCAAAGGTTGGATAAGTGAGACTCTACTGTATTCTCTTTCACATTTCTTCAGCAAATCCTGATAGGTTAGCCATTATTTATTGCTTGCCACAGTAAGATGCTTTGTTTGCTACACTGCAGACTTAATTCTATTCAGGTACTTGGAGCGAAATAAAATGGAAAGGTTGATCACCATTTCCCCAAAATTAGAGGCCTGAAGTGAAATCGCTGGACTTAATTTTACCTCATTAAAATGTGTACAACTGGGACAGAGGAGCACAGATTTCATTCTCTCCAACCCCTAAACCCAATAGTTGCACATTCTGTTCCAAAACGTATGGTGGACAGCAATCACCGTTCTGAATGTTCACAGTACTGTTTTGACATTGCTTCTGATTCATTCAAAATTTGGATTGCAAGTAGAAACTCATAAATGAGCTTTCAAATGAATTTCAGCCATGGTCTATAATTAAACCATATTTATCTCATGGAAATGGTGGGGCCATTTGAGTCAATGTGGTGGAGTGGTTTGTTGGTTCTGACTCCAGTGACCAGAATTTGAATCCCCACTCAGCCATGGAAACCTACTGGGTGACATTGGGCACACTCTTAGCTTCAGAGGAAAGCAAAGGCTAACTTCCTCGAAGAAGTCTTGACAAGAAAAACTCATAGAAGGTTTGCTTTAGAGTTGTCTTAAGTCAGAAATAATGTGAGGAAACAATGATGTTGCAGACCTTTGACTATTTGGCTTTCATGCTTAGTGATGGCAGCACAATAAAAATCTGACACATGTAATTGCTTTTATTCTGCAGAGAAATGATGAAGAAGCAGTGGTGGACAGAGGAGGAACACGCTCTATTCTCAAAACACATTTTGAAAAGGAAGACTTAGAAGGTGAGCACTTATAGTTTCTAATTTATTGCAATTTCAGTTTGAAAGCATTGATTCAAGCCATTAAAAATCTTCAAAAAATATATGCAAGGCAATTTCTACTTGCTGAAAATAATATTCCAGCGATCAAATATCATCCCTGATCCTACATGAGATCCTGAATGAAAATGCATTAATAGTCATTGTTAGACAATTGATTAATTAAGAATAATTTAAGGACTGTTAAAATATGGGGAATAAAAAGTGCAGTGGTTATTTCCTAAACCAATCAAAGTCTTCACCCTGTGATCAAACCTTTTAAATGGTGTATTTCTGAAAAAGGAATTGAATAAATAACACTATGTAACAAAATTTGAAAAAAATCTGTTCCTGGTTTGAAAGTGTTATTTCCTGTTTAATTGTTCGGTACTTACTTTAAAAGTAGTTGTTATATTCCAAACTGTGTTGAATTGGTTGAGACTCAGTGAGCTATTCAACCCCCCCCCCGAAATTTTTCAGGTTAAAAAAAAACCCCTGGTTTCCTCATGAATTTTAACTGGTTAACCAAATCCCCATGCTAAGTCTATGAGATGCAAAAAGTAGAAGTATTAGAAGAAGAGAATGTATTGTCTAAAAGAAGAAGTTTCATATATTCATACCCATTGCAATATTTTATCTCTTGCAGTCCCTCCAGAACTGCAGTCCCTCCAGAACTGCAAGCGCTATCTCAAGCAAATATTGACAATTTATTCACACTGTCATTACTTGCAGCAATAGCCAACGTAGCGAAGCAACCAAGTTGGTGGGGGGGGGGGGGGGGGAGGGGAATGTTGAATGCTCTCATTAAGGAGGCCAAACTTGGTGGAGGTGGTTGACAGGGGCAGAGCTGCAGGCTATTGAAGGCTGCTCTGCCCTCTC